TTTAGCGTTAGGTTCACCTAAATCCAGGGCCATTTATTGAGAAGGCAAGCCATCTTTAATGCTGCCATAGTTTACGTTACTGTGTTTGATGCATTGTGCTTTACAGTCAAGCCGTTCCTTGGTCAGTAAAATTAATATTTTAAGCTGACTAAAGTGTAGAACATTCCTGTATATTTCTTTTCTTCAGTGTTGCAAAACAGTAGTGGAACAAAACAGGTGGTTTAAATGGAGTTCAGAAATGATGTGCGAATCTTTGATTGGTGAAGTTATTTCATCAGTTACAATGTTTTGAATCACGACATTACATGCAGTAGTAAATATTACAAACACGACTAATATGATTGCAGGCATAGAACTGATTCGACGCACTTAACTGTGGATGTTCTTTTTAGATGTTACAAAACAAATGCATTTCCAAACACACGAGCTTCGTGATTAGCATCTGCTTCGTAAGTGCTTCTTTTCGTGCTCATTGGTACGTAATAGCACTTAACAGATCCACTGGAAATGAGCACGGTATGTTTGTTTGTTTGTTTTGAATTTCGTGCAAAGCCATACGAGGGCTATCTGCTCTAGCCGTCCCTAATTTAGCAGTGTAAGACTAGAGGGAAGGCAACTAGTCATCACACCCCACTCTTGGGCTACTCTTTTACCAACGAATAGAATTGGGATTGACCGTCACATTATAACGCCCCCACGGCCGAGCATGTTTGATGTGACAGGGATTCGAACCCGCGACCCTCAGATTGCGAGTCGAGCCCTGCATGTTGCTTACTAAACCAATGTTCAATAGTAGGTGCATACTTCTGAGGCACTATGAGCCATCAGGCTAAAATTACTTCTTGAATTAGGAAAGATCATTAACCACTGAGGTGACGTATTGTAGATCTGCTTAGTCCATACAAGTAACATTAAAATGTTCCACAATAGTAATTGCAAATATCTGCTGTATACTGATTATGCTTTAAAGCACTAAGAAACGTGTTGATAAACAAATTATATTTACGGTTTCCATTGAAGTTGTGATAATACTTTTCTTGGACCTGTGTTACTGGAATCGTTCTTATTGAAGCTGTGGCAGTATTGAAGGTTTCATGTTTATGTTCTTCAGTACGAAATGTGCGCTTAAATATCTCATTCTCAAAAATTGCTCTCATTCACTCTATTTGTTACAGTAATATGGTCACTTTTGAAAGTTTAGGAGAAGGTATGTTCTCTTTTTAACTGTTGCTCATAAATAAAATCTTCAAGTGCCTAGTTTTATCAGCTCTGTGATGATTTCTTCTTTGTCCAAATGTACTAAAGGAACTAAGTGTACCTGCACTTTTTTGTTCATTTATATTTCGAACTGGCTGATCTGAAGCTTTCAAAAAACTAGCCTTAAATTACACACAGCTTCTTCTAGTGTAGAACTCTGGATTTCAGAGCTTGTGAGTCTGGTTCAAATCCGTGCGATGCTACAGATTATTATCGCACTTTCAGTTGTTGGTGAATTATAAGAGTGACAGTCAATCCTTTATCATAGATAGCAGGTGATAGGATGCTGAGGATTTACTGTTTTCCCTCTGGTCAGTAGATTAAAATTAGGAACATCAACAGATTTGCCATAACTACAAATGCTAAACAATAATACTTTACCAAGTAAGTAAATACGAGTTTTTCACAAAGTACTGTAGGACATAATACATTATATAGCTAGATTCCTTGACCAAGTATCTCTGCAGAAGGTAAGACCAGAGGAGACAATTTTATTTTTTTTGCACATACCCAGCAAGTCATGTTGTCTATTATCTATCTATACACACACACACACACATACATAACAACTGATTCATAATTATACAGCATTATAAGTATAGTATTTGCTTTGTTGTTACTATATCTTCTACCATTACTGTTTGGTGTTTGGCTAAAATTATTTGTGGATTTTACCATTTAAGTACTTTCTTTGTGGATCTTACCATTGTAGTGCTAGGTCTTTGAGGGTTCTAATCTGCTTTTAGAACACACAATATCATAACTTGCCCAGAGGGTTGTGAATAATACCAAGATGGTAGAAGAAACAAATGTATCAAATGATATGGTATTGTTATATAGATTGAATGACATTATTTTTAACTCTTAAATCCTGTTGATGTACATAAAATAGACCTCAACCACTACGTTCTCCACTATCCATCAGCACCCAGAAGTAAGATCTGATGAACCAAATCATTTTCTTCCTTCCAAGGATTGTTTTAAACATTTCTATATTCTTGTGATATTCAAAGGATAAACTAGGCACCAAAGCACCTGATCTTTTTTTTAAAAAAAGGTCTTGAGACCTAAATGTGGAAAAATAGTAGTACTGATTTGTTGCATGTAGAGATGGTACAAAGTTGAAACAAAGCTGAACACTTTATTGATAGAGAAAAGGAAAAAAAAAAGAATCAAGTATCTGGGAGTATTTCTGCTTCACTTAAAGTCAAAGAGCAGTCCCACGCACACATACAAGGTAATGTAGGATACAACTAAACCATGAAACAGTAACTAGCTTCTTTGAACGAGTCTTGCTGCAGAAAGTAACATCAAGGGTTTAATTAGCACGATTTCTGTAGTATGAAGGAATACCAGCTATTTTCTACCCCTCTCTCTCTCCCCCCATTTAGTAGAGTGAATTCTTAAAGTTCACCTAATTTTAATTACAGAACATTGGTCAAGAAACTCAGTTCCTTTTACCCTAGTTACCTACTCCTCTGGGTCATTCACCTATATATTCTAACCAATGAATCTTAAGGAAAAGGAAAATGAGTGTACCTGAGAATACCATATCTCGACCACATTGGCAAGTTCCAAAATAGAACTTTAGAAAAATGTGCATGATATGAATAGAAGAGTGAAATATGTGGTATTTCCATACCACATCCTCAACAGGTTTTGGCACTCACCTTTCTGAAATCAATATAAAATCACTGCTTATTTTCCTTCTTGTCATTATGTTAACATAGCTTGTTCTGATCATCAAAACTTACCTAAAGCACATGCTCATTTACAGTTTCTTGTGTAACCAACATGGTTAGAAACTAGACAGCTGTCTAACTGTCACTAGTTTCACAGTGATGCTGAATTTAAAATGCACGTCCTATAAAGTTTGTTATTACTTTACAATAATTAGTCACTCCTGGTTATATTTCAACAAGTCATGTTTGCTGGTATACATAAATAACGACTAGTTCACAATTTTATTCGATTACAGACACAGTATTTGCTTTGTTGTTAGAAAAGCTTTTACCATGACTGTTCGGTATCATCTTGGTAGAGAACACATGGACTTGTATAATTTTGTATTACATAACAAGAAATTAGAGATTATTCTGATTATGACCACCTTGCATGTTAGGCCTTACTTTTACTTAACTAATGTAAGGCACCACAATTTGGTCATAATGATGTTCCCAACTAGTCTTTAATATGATACAGTTCTTAACTTTCTCATTGTTATTTTTATCATATAGTGGAGCTGATAGAATTTCCACACCTTACTTACACATTTGAACATCAAGATCCCCTTTCGTAACTATTACTGTAGGAAATATACTTGTGAAACACAGATTAGAAATGACAAAACTATCCAGTTTACATGTAAAAAAGTTGTGATATTCCTTAACTACATACAGTCATACAACCTCAAACTGGAACTTTCAGAACCAGGAGATGATGCATAACACAGTTCTGTACATTTTAAATAAAGAATGCCAAATACTTAACATTATAATAGATTTTTAGATGATTCCAATATCAGAACACACTGTAACCAGTTTTTTTATGTACCTAACTAAAACACCAATGAAGTTGGAATGGCTCAAGTGTTAAAGTTGGCTGAGTGTTCTGCTGACGATGGCTCAAATACTTTGGTGTTTTGTTCAAAGCAGCATTGGAGTGAAGATTTAGATCTAAGGTCAAATTTTATGTTAAGTGTTTGTGGGTCAATCAAGTGCATATCATCGTCTACGACAGTATAAGCCACCTATCTAAAGATGTTTCAGATCTTGGAAAACAGAGTACCTGCTCTCTAATAAAATATGCAATCTTCATGACAATGAAACTTACTGTATGTGAGAAATTCATAACATCCAGCAGAAAGTTTAAAAGAGGTGTCTTTTCACATTTTAAATATATGAAACGTTTTTATTTTACAATATTCTGTGTTGAGATCCTTTTTATAAAAAAGAACTACCAAAATAGATGTTTAACGTCAAAATGTAAAAAGCACAAAACGCTTTCCCCAATGGAACTTTTACCGAATTACATTTAAAAGAATCTTCCACCTTTTCCCCCGTGTATCACATGTGAAGCAATTCATAACGTTCCTAACTAAAATGAGAACATTACAATGTAAAAATTCACATTCTGAAGTTTACATTACCAGTTTCCATCAGCATGTAAAACTGATAATAACAAAGAAGGCAATCTTAGTTAATTACAAAAAAAAAAAGAAATGCACCAGATTACTCTAGATATCATATGACAAATTTTATTTAGACTGAAGGTTTTTTAAGAGGTAAAATAAAAAATCCCAACACTCCACATTTTGTTTCTATTTTGTACCACTGTTTCATAGTTATGCTTGTAATAGAAACTAGCAACAGTTAATAGTCATATCACAGTATTTTAAACAGATGTTTTATTAACACTAAATGTTTAATAATAAAAAAAAAACACAATTTAGAAACTTCATTGGATACCTGTGATGATGATAAAGAAAACAGCTACAAGAAAAAACAAAAGTATTAAGAAAGAGCCAAAGTTAAGCAACTCATAATTGTGTTTGTTTGTTTTTTTGCACGTCATTGCATGTTATCCATTAGCTTGCTACATCTATATGGATTACCAAACTCTCAAGTTTCAGCATTGGATCTCTTGATTTTCACATGTTTATGGAAACTCCCTCCCCCATTTTACCAGCTGATCTTACACACAGGTGCACACATGGAGTGGGCAATGGTAGCAGGGATAGCTATCTAACTGATGTCCATCAGTGAAGTGGAGTCTGTTACACTTGTGTTACTGTCTTTTAAAATACTGTCAAACAGGCTCTGGAGCTCTTGGGTTGACTTGATTTGGGTCAAGAACTCTGTCACGAGAGGATTCTTGTCTAAAATAAAAAGAAAGCGATTCTACAAACATAAAAGGCCGTGTTTTTCTAAAAACATAATTACTCAGAAAGCTGAAATTAGGTCTTTACACACAGGATTGCTAAAGGTGAATATCCTTTAAACTACATATTAAACATTTATATATATACAATAATGCAAAAGTAGAAAACGAACAAAAAATTTTCACAACACAAAACATCACCCCCCAAATATTCTTCTTCTCTCTAAGTAATATGTTACCACCACCATGTTTAATGCTCAGATCAAGAAGTTAAACACCAAAAATATGTTCATTTTCTTATGCATAAGGTGTTCATTGAGTAAGCTTATAGCTTCAGGTTTTTTAATTTGTTGTTAAAAAAACATGACTGGTGTCAGATTATTGGTATCAATTTCCCAAACCTGTAGACTAAATATAAAGCAAAAAAACAAATTCCAACATTGGTAAATTAATGTATATATATAAAGGTGAAAACAAGTTTTAATTACCCAAATTATCTTATTATCACTTTTTCAACCAAATTAAAAGGCTGAAGCTATTTTGTTCAAGAGCTACAACTTACCAGTAACCAGCCAACACACCAAGATTACATGGTTGGTTGTAAGGTGAAACAATACTTTTCTTTTAACATTTAATTTAAAATAGAACTAACTCTACAATATGGAAAGGATGACATAATTTAAGGATGAAAAATGGCTCAATCATTAAAGTTTTTGAAAATAGTACTAAAATACACTTTATGCCAAAAGACAATTTTCACCCAAGTTTCATTTTTCAAGTACTGACCAATTTGGATTTGTGAGGTAATAAAGATGGCCATAACCTACAGCCAGAATTGTAAAAATGTATTTGTTAAGACTTAATGAACATTTTTCACCAAAAGCTCTTGGTTTTGTACTCCTTGTGATCCTAAGAAACATATAACGTTTTTATAAGTTTAGTTAATATATGTCAGGGAAAAATATATTTTATGATGAAATTCGGGTAAAAATTGTATGAAACTTCCCATCGCATAACATGTTTATACATCAAAAAACTACTTAAACTTAGGTGTCAACAAAAGAAAACAGCCTTTCCTAATGGATGACTATCCATACATACATTCTAAACATTTCACAAGTCTTTAAAATGTAATAAAAATGATAATAGAAGTTTATTTTACAAGGTATGCTCACAGCTAGCTCATGTGTAGTGTAGTTCAAGAACATAATGCGAGCTGTACATTCACCAATGATTTATGACTTATAATGACACAAATAGCAGTTATAAATGGTTCAAAGAGCAATAAAACAATAAAATTTAAGTATAAACAGATGTATATTGTTACGAGTTTAAAGAAATTTCAGACACACAAATGTTGTTTCACGTTACAACATGAAGTCATTCTAGTCATCATGTTAAAACTTTATACAAGTGCAAATGGTCACATGGTTGGTCCCTGGGACCTGGTCTGTGTTGGTAGAGTTAAGTGTTTTTGTTTGTTTTCACAACTTTTTGGTACAAAGTGTGACTTGGCCTGGGGTGAGCAGTGTTGATAGAGTTAAGTGTTTTTGTTTGTTTTCACAAGTTTTTGGTATAAAGTGTGATCTGGCCTGGGGTGAGAAGTGTTGGTAGAGTTAAGTGTTTTTGTTTGTTTTCACAAGTTTTTGGTACAAAGTGTGACCTGGCCTGGGGTGAGCAGTGTTGATAGAGTTAAGTGTTTTTGTTTGTTTTCACAACTTTTTGGTACAAAGTGTGACCTGGCCTGGGGTGAGCAGTGTTGATAGAGTTAAGTGTTTTTGTTTGTTTTCACAAGTTTTTGGTACAAAGTGTGACCTTGCCTGGGGTGGCCAGTTGCTCTCTTAGGTTGCCTGAAAAACCAGGTCAACTTTTACACGAGATATATTAAAAATCACGGGTCGACTATTACATGAGTACATACAGTAAAACAGAAGTAGTCATTAACATCCATCCAGATATGCCTCAACAATATGCAAGTCAAGAAAAAGTTTAAAATCTTACAATTAAAGAAAGTAAAACACCAAGGATATATTCACAATTAAATGAGTGTGGTAAAATATTATATATATAATTTTTTAACAGGTTTAGTTTTTTTTCTAATCAGTTACTGCATTTCAGTCCAAAGAGAACTTGAACCAAAACAACAAAAATTTACAAAATTCTATTGTTAGGTATTTAGAGCTAAGTAATGGTGTAAACTGGTATTAGGCTTTCTTAAGAAACTTTAAAAAAATTATCCTTGTATATCTAGCAAAGGTACAAAGGTTGATCTAAGATTATCAATTTCGGGAATTTCTTTCTGTTTTCTTTAGAACGGTGACATACGAAAGTAGTGGCATGGATGCTTTGTAAGTAAGAAAGGTACAGCAGCCACAGTTTACTAGACCACACTCAACTGCTATTTGTTATGTCCATCTGAAACACTCATGCAAATCAAGCATTGAATTAACCAGAAACTGTTGTCATTGTTCTTTTCTACAAATTAGTGAAAGTCATTTGACGAAAATATTGACAATTCATTATTATTTTTTCCTTAATAGTTTTGCTTGCGAAGATGTCTACATGGTTGCTGTGATATACATGCGGTGCTCAGCTGCTATGAAATACAAAGGTGCCTTAAAAGTATCTTTTTTTTTAATTTGTACTTTAGGACAAATCTTACCAGCATCTGGTATTGCAAGAAGTGCAGTAAATGCTCTCATAGCTGAGCGTTTCAACTCGTCTTGTTTTTCAAACTCCTGCTTCACCGAGTTGGCTTTCACTTTACTTGTACAGGTAGTCCTCAAAGGTTCAATAAGCCTCTCTAACCCTGATAAAAAAAACAAACACACACACACTTGTAAAACATATTGCTATATGAAAATATAAGTTTTAACAAAATCTTAACCTTATACGGCTGGTGAGAATCTTTCTATGGCATATCAGTGATTTAAACATACAAATATTTTATACAATTTTTATGTCACATTATACCTCGTGTACTTATGGTACACAGAAGAGTTGTTAAATATCTTCAGTAAAAATAAGAATTAACAATAATCATTAGTCTTAATTATGAGAAGCATAAAGCCTCTATGACCACTCTGCCTTAGATATCTTTGCTGTTAGTGGTGTTTTTGGCCCTTATCCCAAGAACACCTGACAAGGTTGGGCCTGCTGAGTGAATTACTAAGCACACAGAGTACAAATCTTGTTGCTAAATAGAAGACTATTAGTTTAATAATAATTAATTTATTCCTATATTGATTTCAATGTTTCATTTTAGTTGTACAAATAGTGAATGGCAACATTTTATCATTAAAAAGACGTTTCTAAAGGTATAAAGTGTTTAAAAAATTCTGCAACCCAAATTTTCAGGATTGTGACATCTCAGAAGACATCAATTTTCCATTAATCAATCTATTTATTAACAATACTGAGATTCTAAGAGTCTTCCCAAGTTTTCCATGCAATTTAAACTAATTGTTTCTTGTTTAATAATAAGCCAACATAAGTTCTATGAATTTCTTGAATGTGCAACCTTAAACACTTTTTGTTTACAAAAAACTTAAAATTTTCCTTATTAACTTAAATCTGTCTATCAAGATTCTTAAAATTGTCCTTATTAACTTAAACCTGTGTATCAAGATCCTTCCTCTAGCTTCTTTTACAGTCTGTCTCAAGTATGACCATAGTTCCAGTATGCTCCTAATAAGTCAATATTTCTTAAGACTGATTCTCAAGGTCAATAATGGGGAACGTAAGAGACTTTTACTGCTCCTAGTCAGTTACCAATACCTGCAAGGTGCTGAATTAAGAAACTGCTTGTTTGTTTGTTGAATTTTGTGCAAAGTTACATCTGTACAAGCCTTCCCTAATTTTGAAATGATAGACTAGAGGGAAGACAGCTAGTCAACACCACCCACTACCAACTCCTGGGCTCTTCTTTACCAACAAATAGTGGGATTATCACACTAATCACATTATAATGCCTCCACAACTGAAATGACGAACATGTTCACCAATGGGATTTGATCTCATGATCCAAAGATTGTGAATTGAGTTACCTAACCCGCAAATTAAAAAAAAAGACAGGAGAAAAATTATGAATTTTGTCTAATGAAATAATTGGTCAAGAATAACATTAACATAAAGCAACATATAAGTCCTGGAAAAATAATATAATAAATTAAAACAGGCTCCACAATAAAACAAAGAGTTTGTGTTTCTTAGCTTCTTTTTACCTTAAAAAGTTTGATTTTTCACAACTTTTGAAAGAATTAAAAAAAAAAAAATCGAGGTTTTTGAAAACTTTTTAAACAAAAATTTAATACGTTTATATGAGAATCGTGTCTTGGATATTATAGCTATAACCCTGAATAGCTTAGAAAATTAACTACAAAGTTTTCAAGCATTTTCAAGCAGTTTAAATGACTATTCACAACAGATATACTCAGGATGGCAGAATCTTCTTTAAAAGACATTTAGTCTTTTTTTTAGAGTGATGGTAAAACATTTCATATCTTAATCTCAATACTCGTGAAAATTCATAATTTGTAATTTTTAGAAGCATTTATTATGGAATGTCAACAATTAAAGTTAAAACTTTTTAATAAAACCCATAAATACAAAATAACAACATACTCTGCAGTACAGCTGAAGGGCAGAGAGAGGCTAGCCGTACCAGCATCAAGTATGTTAACATTTTAATATCATAATGGTCTCGAAGTCCATCTTCCACATGGTTAATGAATTCAAAGACATCAAGTCGATCCAAACAGGAGTCCAATAGTGTATACATACACTCAAAAGCTGCCTATAAATATAAAATAATTGTATGTTCACACTGTAATTACTGGTGCTGCAGGTAATAAGAAAACACAGTTTTTCCATATTAGAAAAGTTCATATGGCAACATAAACAGGGCTATAAATTAAAGGAGTGGCAATACGGTGATACGATACGAGTATTATATTGTGAAGCCATAATACGATCGTATCGATACATCGTCCGATATGATAAGATTTATGTGTCTTCACGACATTTAGCAAACTTTCAGTAAAAATTATATGTCTTTTGTAAAGAAAAAATCAGGATTTCTAATAAAGTATTTTTGCTAAAAATTAATGATTCAATAAAGGAAGATGAGTATTGAGTACAACATGTTGTCTTCATTTCTTTTATCAAAAACATTACACGCAAAGTAATATAAATTAACAATAACAAAACATATAGATGTTAAGTGAGAATTTGAAAAAGCACTGTAAAGTGTGAAGTACTTAAATAAGACAACGTTAGTAATATAGATAATAAATGACAGACAAGACCGTCGAACTTTGTAACAAACCATTGGTAAAACTTCTGTACTTAGATATACATTGTATTGCAGCATCAATATCTAGATACATATCATATTGACTGCTATGATGAGATGCACACCCCTACTATAAATAGACATCACGATAAAATTTGCTAATGGGAAATTATAAAATTTCTACCATGTTAACAAACATTACTTCTTTTAAATGTAAAGTGAAATAATTCTCACCACAGTTTATCATATACACGGCCTTTCGGCAAGTAAAACCAAATAAGCATACTACCAAAAACAATAACATTATTGATTATTAAAGTCAAAAGAAGATCCATAATGGAGTTATATTACCTATATCAATTATTTTTAAAGATAGTTCAGAAAATCTGAAACTATTCCTTTAAACTCTGTTGAAGCCTTGTCTACTTAAGAATGCTTACCAGACATATAAAATTCAATAAACCACTTATTATTCCAGGTGATCAAGAAATCCTGATTCTAAATCTGTCTGAAAAGTTGGTCATACCCAAGTGATATGTTTTAACTAAAGCTTCTGTATTAAGTTGATGTATTATCAACATCAGCTTTATGAAGTTACAATTAAGAATTGATCTTTGAAATTAAAAAAAAAAAATTGGATTTATTATTCTAAAAAAAATGTTAGAATTGAAAGGCGAGGATATATTATATATAATATTTTAATATCATCTTTAATAATGTTCAATTTAAGGCTTATACAATAATAAAAGAATAATACAGCATTGATGAAAAGTATAATGCACAACGCTACAGCTGGCAGAAATGTTTGTCATTTTCTATCTACATAAAAATCAGCATAAAACAGATATCACTAAATAAATCTATAAATAATGGTCAACACTATCAAATCATAAACATCTGAATGTTGATTTGTCTTTCATTCAAACTGATGTAATAAATAACACCAAATGTAAAGAATTTAACAGTTTTATTAAAAATATTATAGACTCAAGCACCTTGTAAAAAGAGCACATTACCATTATATTAATGGCACAAAAGTTTTAATATATATAAAAACAAGTTCATTCAGAAAAAGGATAATACAAGATAACTAACAAACTTATCAAAAGTAAAACAGCAACCAATTATACCAATAACATTGTTTGAACTCAAAATAGTGATAAATATTCAAGCTTTATTTACAGTATCTTCAATTTATTAAGCCAGAAATTTCCAGAACAGGGTCTGCAGAAAAGTTTCAGGAAAGGGGTGGGGGGTTCTTAGTAAATACACAGTACAGTTCAGGTGCCCAGTATCTACAGATTCACTGGGCAGGTGTGGGGGTCTCAGCCAAGATCCAGAATGTACTGGGGTCTCTCATGCCGAGGAAGTTTGGGAACCCCACATATTAAGCAATTTTTACTCTAATTTGAAAACTACAATAGCTCATAATTTTAGTTTACTTGCTAATCATGCTCATGATGAGGACACAGAAATAGTACTGCTGCAATAGAAATTCACTGCTTTATACATAGTCTTGGGGAATACCATAATATTAATGTAACATTTTGTTTCTTAGTTAAATCTTTTAAACTAAAATATCATCATCACAGTTATCCAAGAATGAATATCTAATACCCACCTTCCTGATATCAAGACCATCATCTACAGTGTGTTTGAATGGACCCATTTCTACCTCACGAATCAATTCTTTCTGAAAATAAAAAAAATTGTGACCAATAACTTATCTTCATCTATCTTAAAGTGTACTAAATGTTATCTCATTTTCATTACTAATTCATAAAAAAATTCCCAGAACAAAACTTAATCTGCAAGAAGATTTAATAAACTCTAGTTTCATTACCTTATATCAATTTGTTCTATGTAATTTATAAAAAAAAAAGTGCTAGTTATCACAATGAATAATGCACAACTAAGTTGTTAAAACTTTGATAAAAAAAAAGTGTCCTTTACACGGTCAAAAGAAAAACTTGACTTTGAATGCAAGGCAATGCTATTTTAGACACGAACACGGCAAAAATACAAAAAATAATTTGAACATTTTTTATGGTGTGAATGCCTTTTTCAAGCTGGAGAAATACAATTATAGCTGATTTACTTGTCAACAAAATACTATGTTTACACCATAACAACTGCTGTTGTAACAAGTGACTTCTATAAATAGTGCTCCAACCAATACAGTCTGTATTTGAACATTTTTTATAGTATGAATGCCTTTTTCAAGCTGGAGAAATACAATTATAGTTGATTTACTTGTCAACAAAATACTATGTTTACACCATAACAACTGCTGTTGTAACAAGTGACTTCTATAAATAGTGCTCCAACCAATACAGTCTGTTGTGTTAGAACCGGTCTGAAGAGCTCTGGATTGAGTGGAACATGCTGTCAGTAATGGATACAGCAAACATAGTGTGGTAACAATAATAACATTATCCACTCTTCTAATTCTTGAAAATTCCAAAGGGACTAGATATAGAATGCAGTGTTAAAAAATATATTAGGCCTAATACTATTGTCTGATGACAAGTAAATTAACTATAATCACACTTCTCCAGCTTGAAAAAGGCATTCACACTATAACAATTGTTCTTGTAACAAAACAGCTTATACAAATAGCATTCCAATCACTGCTGTGTTTGTTTTGCTGTGTCTCAGCTGGCCTAGTGAGCTCTGGATTGAGTGAAAAACGTTGTCGGCAATCTCTAAGGGACTGGATATAGGTTGCAGTGTTAAAAAATATATTAGGCCTAATACTAATGTCTGATGAAAAGTAAATTTTAAAACTCTGTTAATTTTCTATTCTATTAATTTTGTACGGGCCCTCTATATGACATAACTTTATAATTTACTGAATTACAAATATAGAATACTTTCCAAATAAAGTAACTTACAGTAGGTTGCTATTAGTACCTCTTTTTCTATTAACACCAAAAACCTGCAATCTAGGTTAAAATAATAATTGGAAATTCACCAATAGTCAGAACACTTTCATGCCTATATTGTTAAAAAAATTGAATATGTAAAATATGCCCCCACCAAACAAATAGTTATGGTATATCTGGAGTCAGTAACCTGCAGCTTTCGGGCCGCATGCAGCTCCTTAAGGAGATTTGTGCGGCTCTTGGGCTGTCTGAGGGGAATCGAACCCCTTATTTTAGTGTTGCAAATCCATTAAGACATTTTGTGACTGTAGAAATGTTTTGGTCCCAGACAAAAACAAAAGAATGACTCTTCTTTGGAGGGTTGCCAACCCCTGTGGTATACCAACAGAATATAACATACATACAATAACAAATAGTTAATATATTTAATTCCATACAAATATCCCCAAAACAAGAAAGTGTTATTGCATTTACAACTGATAGAATATCATTAAAACCTTGAAACAGATTTTTTCCCATTTACAACTGATAGAATATCATTAAAACCTGAAACAGATCTTTCCATTTACAACTGATAGAATATCATTAAAATCCCAAAAACAGATTTTTCCCATTTTACAACTGATAGAATATCATTAAAACCTTGAAACAGATTTTCCCATTTTACAACTGATAGAATATCATTAAAATCCCAAAAAATATCTTTCCATTTACAACTGATAGAATATCATTAAAATCCCAAAAAATATCTTTCCATTTACAACTGATAGAATGTCATTAAAATCCCAAAAACAGATTTTTCCATTTATAACTGATAGAATGTCATTAAAATCCCAAAAAATATTTTCCCATTTACAACCGACAGAATATCATTAAAATCCCAAAAACAGATTTTCCCATTTTACAACTGATAGAATATCATTAAAACCTTGAAACAGATTTTCCCATTTTACAACTGATAGAATATCATTAAAACCTTGAAACAGATTTTCCCATTTTACAACTGATAGAATATCATTAAAACCCCAAAACAGATTTTTCCATTTACAAGAATATGACACTTTCCACAGAAATGCTAGTCAATTTATTGAAACCACTCAGAATATTACGTTAAGTTGTTTCGCTACTTTTTTGGGCATGATATTGAAGAAAACAAGATATAGTCTCATTACAGATACTTTAATGAATCCCTAGTACAGAATATGATCTGAAATACTTATTACTCTGTTTATACAATCACTAAATAACCTGATTAAAATAAACATAACATTTTTAATCTAAGTCTCCATCCTTTGTATTTCTCACAAAATGGTTAAATGATAGCTGATAACATGGCACCTAACACATCGAGTATAAATGGCATGCTTTCCTCACTTTTTCCAGTTAGTATATACAAACATTATTATCAACAACCATGTTAGATTGACTTAGCTTCCCTCCCCACTTCTGTTAGGTAGTCATGGCTGACATAAAGAATTCTGGTTTTACAGTATAATCAAATCTGAATGACACAATTCATTCTTTTCGAATGATAATTCTCAGTAAACTGCCTTCATAGAACTTATTACATAGGAATAAAGCTGAACCTTTTCCCCCATAACAGTTTCTTTTTTTTTGTGTTCTGAGATATGTTTAATATTCCTGTCTAGCTTCACTTGGGTTTCTGGCAGCATTTGCATACTGCACACATTGCTACCATATGGTGCAATCATAATAGCTGCTACTTTAAGTTTCTAGCATCTTTCAAGAATTTTTAACTTTTTTCCAGAAATTGTGTGAACCCTGCGTTATTCTTGACTGGTTTTACAGCAAATCTTCAATCTAAAATGAAAGCTGACCCCTTACTACAACTTATTACATTGTACATTAAAAAAAAAACAAAGCTGACCCCTTGCCTTGATGGATTGCTGGTACACCTCAGGCAAAATAAACGCCCATTTTTCTTCAAATAGCTGGAAGGCAAAAACTAGCATAGCGTTCAAGCTGACCCCTTACTCTTATTAGTTTCAAAGAAAACTCAAACAGGTATTGATTTCTTGATCTAACTATTCACTAGTTATTTTTGTTCTTCTGAAGCAGGATGAATCTTTACTCACACAAAAACATGAGCCCTTACCCTCACTTTAGTTTCACTGTACAACTGAGGCAAAATGGATTCCAAGAGATCTCGCACCAATGACGGTTTATTGTGGGCTGCTGAATTGAAAGCCACAAGCGCTACTCGACGAACATTCAAATCTGGATCTTGTAAGGTGGAAAGAAATTCACCGATACAATTTTTAAGGAGACTGTCAATCGGTTGAGGCTACAAACAAGAGTAAAACAGGATTCAGAAATATGATTCACACAAAACATGACAATTAATAATTGTTAATAATGCTACCACTTAAATCATAATCAAATATTACACAAATAAGGTTTAAATTTAACTAAATTTCACTCTTTTATAACATTAATTTTCATATAATCCAAAACTAGCTAGGATTAGTAAAAAATACATGGCTGTTGACAAATATTTTTCATCATTTAAATTTGAAAACCTCAAATAACTTAAGTCTCATTAAACACTATTATAAAAAAAAAAAGAACATAAATTGTACATAGAAGTATAACTCAATTTGACTATGCCATTTTTATCCTTTATAATATTTACTATGACACAATTAAATAAAACTAGAGAATTCTGCCATATTTTTCAACTTTTCCTCATGGTTCTAATACCATATCAACAATGATTACAGTAGTAAACTGTTTTTGGACACAGTTGTCAAACTGGCCCTGTGCTAATTCCCAAATTCAGTCAACACGTTGTTTTGTGATAGTGGATCTAAACCTTATTATTTTATACTAGTAGAAATACCCACCCTCCGGGCAGGTATAACTGCTAGTTCCTGCAGAAGGCTATTGGGCCTGCAGCCTTTTCTGGAATTGTCTAACAGTTCTACAACAATGTACTCATATTTGACAGTCAATACTGTTCACCATCCATGAGAAAAAGGATTTTATTGAAATTTTAGTTTAAAAATGAGCTATCATCACAGCATTACATCACAGAGTAGATTTTATTGAAGTATTTCTTTGTAGATGCAGTTATCAGTAAAAGTATCTTCCTTTCCATTGCAATGCTCAAGTGATTTTCACTAAAGAAAAATAAAGAATTTTTTTAACTTTGTTTTTTGATTGTTTTATATTTGAAACTTACTCCTTTT